TTGCTTTCGATTCAATAAAAAATATGACTCACTTAAATAAACTCAAAACTTGGATTTTGGCCAATTTTTGGATTCTGCTGAAAATTGGCCCATTATTTATATGAACTTTTTTGTAGTCTGCTATCACTTCTATAAAAATTCCCCTCTGCTTACTGGACAACCTGTATACAATAGACCTTTAAATAGCGGTGCGCAATCTCTAATCCGACTGTTTTTTCATAAAAAGCGCCTCTGAAGGTATATAGCTCAGTAACTTTGTCATGAAAAGGGGGTCGAAATTGCATCGAATGGGAGAAGAAGGTTTCTTCGTTTCTCTTTTATGGGATGTGACTGAGGTGATTTCCAAGTTTTCGACCTCGGCATCCCCCTGAACACTTTTTTAAACTCCCTCATTTTTTTTTTTTTTTTTTTTTTGTTTTTCCCCATGTTGAACATAAAATAAGTTAATCTACTTTAAAAATGTATTGAATGTTTTTCGTCGAAATCGTGCTCCTTCGTGAATAAATTGGGAGAAAAAACGAAGAAAGTGCGAAAATATAGCAGTTTTGGGAATATTCAAAAGCGATTCGGGGGGGGGAAGCATAACGAAGTTGAAAAATTTGATTTTCCATTTCAGTCATATTCCATACAAGAAAATAAAAAGAAAACTTCTACCCCAGTTCAATGCAACTTGTGAGTCGATGTATAAGGTTACTGGGCTAATAATAGTGGACACTAATACCATTTTGGCTACTCTATTTTTTTTCTGCCAAACCAAACCACCAAAACACATACATTGTTAAAGTATTGCGCTTATTCGTGGCGTAAGGCTACTTGTGTGCTATTTCTTGCTTGTTTGTTGAAGATTGTATAGTGTTGGAGCAGTCGTGTACGCCAATATTGTCTTCTGTCAGCCTGTCTTTTTCTCATTAATTCTCTAATTTCTGAATTTATCTAAGGATTAGGTGGAGGTCTAAAAATACATGATGGCCTAGCGAGCTAACGTGTGTGCACCAGTTCAAATTAATTACCAGTTCAAATCCTGGTGCCCGTTGGGACTTTAACCTCCCAATAATTTAAACTTTAAACTCATAATTTTCTCGCCCTCTTCTCCGGCCAGAAAAAAATCCCGTGCAAGGAAGGGGAGTACAAAACAATAAATCCTCCCTTATTTTCTTTTTAAGAAGTGTTCTAAGGGATTTCATTAATTAATACTACCGGAAATGTTCCTGGCCTTTTTACTATAGTGCCTGCATGTTCATTTTCAATGTTTTCGAAATGCAAAGAGAACTAGATCAACATTTAAAGAAATAATGATTCTCTCGTAACCTTCTTATTTCTTATTTTATTTTTTATTTATTTTTTTGCCAGTATGTTTTTTGCTCCGGTGTTTTGAATGGCTGATAATGCACTCTAGCCCAATCAGTAGTTTCTGCTGTCTTTATGAATATTAGAGCTTCTCTTATCTCTACTATTTCACCAGTTGAACTGGGCAAGCCCGCCTGTGTTTAAAGAACTTTCCAAGTTGAAAATTTAAAACCGAACATCCTGCTTCTTTATCTACTTTTGAATTATCCATGTATATAAGTATTATCCATGTTCCAAAACAATTTTTGTACTTCAAATGGATGCATCATATCTTTTTTACATCTTTCAATCAAGGTATCTATGCTGCTTGGTAAGGCATGTGTCAATCGGGGGTTATTATATCCGACACATCCGGAGAATTTCCTAATGTTAGTTCCAATAAATTATCGAGAAGTGAATTATTATTATGAGTAATAGCAAAGTAGATGAGGAATATCAAAGAAATTTCCCCAAAAAATACAGAATTATCATTATCACAAACCAAATAAACAGATTTATTGTTGTCTATTCGGAACAAAAGCTTATTGTTTTTTACAGGAACATTTAAAGTACAAAACATTTTTTTTTTCTTATCATAGTTTTCTACTTAATGTGTTTTTAACGGAAGGTTGATTTCGATACTCTTCCTAGGAGAAGGTCCGCTATTAGCGGAAGATAGTGCCCTCAGACAATAGTATCTCCTCTAGAACAGTCGCCCAGATCCATTTGTCAGGCTGGTGAAGCCGCTAGCACCCGTCCCCTGATGGCCTCAGATGAACTTTACATTATGGCCGAGATAGTACCACAGTTCCGCATCCAGTTTCGCAGCCATCACTCAGCGTGCACACGTAGCAAGAAGTACAACCGTGTCGTAATGGAGTAGCGGAATATTCCGCCTCATCTGCCATCTCGCCGTGTACCAGATCCTGGAGCTAGTGAGATATAGGATAATAGGAAAGGCAATTAGCACTCACTTACTTTCCAAGCTCATCACGGATTGGTTGAGTAATGTGACAGAATTAGATAAAAATATTTACAACACAACAGTTATATCCTTTTATAATTTGCGATTCATGATGTTTTTATATCAATTTAGTATTGCATAATACTAGTTTGTCCTGTAAGTAAAAGAAAATAATTAAATGGGTGATAGCTCAGTTCATGACCTCACGAGCTACAAAGAAGTCATATAAACAATGGACAAATTTTCTGCAGAAAAATATTATTTAAGTTTTGTGTTTCTTTAAGTTAGTTATGCTTTTTGTTGAATAGGTCACAAAAACTAAAAAGTATCGAATTCAGGAATGAATAATTACTTCGCAGTGAACTAGATAAAATTAACTTTATATGGAAGTAAAGTTTGACTTCGTTAAAACCATTTAAAGGCGACTTTCAGTTTTTAATAAAATCATTAATACATTTTTGAAGTGAAAATTTCTGTGGGCTCTTTTTAGCAATTTTTGACGGGGAGTGGATGAGACTGAGCCGTCGAGCTCGGATGTGTAACGCTCATTCGGGTAAATTCGGCTCCAGTCGACTAATTGAAGTGTTTTTGCATATGGATTAAAATATCTCAGAAACTAAAGATTGTACTTACGTAATGTAAGCGAAGAAAATATTCAGCGTTTCATCTTATTTTAATTGAGCTATAATTCAAAATTGTACTTCAACGCGAAGCCGTGTCAGGGAGACAAAAAGAGAAAAAAAATGGTAAATACAAATTATGATGGTTTTCATTGAGGCTTAGTATTTATATTTTTTTTTAATTTTATTTCCATTTTTAATTTTAGCTTAATTATATTTAATATGATTTTTTTTCTCATTGGGTAGATAGTCAAGGCTCAGTCGGAGCTTCTAGTCTTCTCTGTTTTGTGCTGTTGCTTTCCGATTTCTTATATCCATCAGCTTCTGAACATCAACTCCATGCAATCAACCCAGCACATGCGAGCTCTTCCAACTCTTCTACGTTCAAATATTTTTTCTTCTAGCAGCAACTTGGATACTTCCTTACTATTCATGCGGGAAATATGCCCTGCCCATCTCAGACGTCCAACCTTTATTAAATGGACGATATCAAGGTCATTGTAGAAATTCATAAGCTCAGCGTTTTTCATAGATCTCCATAACCGTAGGCCCCATAATGCTTCTTAAAATCTTCCTTTCGGATCTCAAAAGAGCTGATCCTAGTACTTCGTCATTATCCAGCACTCAGATGAATAGGTGAGGACGGGCCTGACCAGGATCGTATAGGTATGTATCTTGGTGGTCCTAGAGAGAGATTTACTTTTTAGATGCCTCTGGCCCATAATATGATCTATTAGCTCTCATTGACCGTCTCTGAATCTCTGATTGTATATTACTATTTAAGTTCAACAGTGTCCCAAGGTAGATAAATTCCTTGACACATTCGAAGTTGAAGACAATTTTTTCTCTACCTCCTGGATATTCTTCTCTTTTAGGATTTCAGAGCAAAGAATCGTTCACCTGCAGTCCAAATTTAACGGTTGTTTTTTTTTTTGTAAATTTAGGCAGGCGTTCTCCATACTCTGAAAACTGGGACCTTTATTGCAGAAAATGTATTAAAAAATCACGTGAAAATGTAGGTGTCAATATGGAAAGTATATGAATCATAAAATCCAAGGATACGTTGCCATGTTATTATTCCTGAATATGAATACAAATTTAAATAATAAGAATATTTAGGTCGTTATGTTATGTACCTACTTATAGCCCATAGTTTTTTTCATTTATTAGTCGCCAACCATGAGACTTTTCTTAATCGAATTTAGTTTACATATTTTATTCATTCATGAAGCTTATTTATTTATTTATTTTTTTCATAGCCCCTTTTTATTTATTTTTGTCTTGAATCCTTGGGTATTCATTGTCTTCATAATAGTCCTTTTACTGCTTAAAAGCATTGTAAGGTGTATTTTTTTGTCGTTTCTGAGTATTTTGTACTTCATTTGTAATATATAAAAGGTGAGCCCCATTCACCTCTGGCTTGAGTTGACCTTATCCTCTAGACCTTACAGCTAAATTAATAAAACATGTATCTCATGTGATTTGTTGCCAACGTTTTGGAATTTTGGCTGGTAATAAGTTGTTGAAAAGAGGGTTTACCAATTGTTGAGATTTTTCGAAAAATGATTTCTTTTCGTTTTGCGAGAAAATCTTTTATTGTTTATAAATTTAGTGTTGCTTGTATATCCAATGTCTTCTTTCTCTGCAGCGTGGTTCCTCTTACAATTTTTCTAATTATTCCATTTTGGAAATATTTTAATCTTTTCCCAGTTGTTTTGCTGATATGTTGGAACAGAGGATCACCATACAACAGAGCCGGCCGGCCGTATTATACTTGTATAGACTAGAAGCTTTAAGCGTAAAGATAGGTTTGTTGTCCGAATTAAATTTTGGATTCTGTACGTCTTGGATCTTACTGTTTTAATTTTTTTGTCAAAATGTCTAGTAAATTTTAAATGTCTGTCGAAGTGAATACCGAGATATGTTAAGTCAGTCGATAATTCAATACTGTTGTTAATTTTGAATTCATTTGGCATTTTCTTTTTTCCTTTTTGGTATGAAAATATAATTCCTTTTGTCTTTTCGGGATCAACAACTATGTTTAGGATTTTTAGCTGTTCTGCTATTTTTTCACAAGCTATTTTCACCTGCTGCATAGCTTTTTTTTCATTCATACTGCTACTTGAGACAGCAATGTCATCAGCAAATGCTGTCACTGAAGCATTTTTGTGTTTGGTTCCCACTATTTCCGCAATATATGATAGGAAAAGAACGGGAGATAAAACAGCTCCTTGGGGTACCCCACAAGTGAGATCGACATTACTTGATTTCTCATTTCCAACTTTTACTGATAAGGTAAGACGGCTTAGAAATGATTTTATCAATTAGTATAATTGTTCAAGACAAATGCCTTCGAGTAGTCCATTGATATATATATATATATATATATATATATATATATATATATATTTTTTTTTTTTTTTCGGTTTGCACTACAGACCATGAAGATCTTTGGCCGCGATATGTGGTCTCCTTACAGACATGTGATACTTGCGGGAGCTCATATAGCCTGGAGGGGGTGCTCATATAGCCCAACCTCACGTTGCTACGAACCATGGTTTCCATGGTGCAGCGGTAGGCCACCCGTAGGTCCATAGCCGATCCATTTTGGGGCCAATCTGGCAATGTCCTTCCCACCGACTCTCTCGGGTTCAAAGACAGTGACAAATCGGTCTACATCCATAGATTATGGCTGCTCGGAGTCAGCAGGCGCACGAGGACCAATATTTATTTCCCCGAAACAGACTGTCCATGGACCGAACCTCAGGGGGGCTATTAACATCCTGGAAAACCACATCCCGATTCCCGATTTAAGTACACGGGGTAGGATCATCAGTCCTACCCCCGGTCGATGGGAGTTGCCTCCAGTAGGCTGAAGGGCCTTACATAACGTGGGTGGGACTCGGGCAGCATGGCGGACGGTCACCCAAATCGAGCGGTCACCCATCCAAGTACTAACCACGCACGACGTTGCTTAACTTTGATTACCTATTGCAAGCGCCTTAGCCCATACGGCTACCCATATACATATATATATATATATATATATATATATATATATATATATATATATATATATATATATATTTTCTTTTATAAACGAAATTTACAACTGTAATTATTAATAAATACAACAAGTAAATATGAACAAGTAATATGACATGTACAACATAAAAAAGAAACTTACCATTGGTAGCACTCCAATTATATTTCTATATTAGAAGGTCCCGAGGCCATCTTCTTTTCAGACGCCTCGGAGGTTATCAGGAATAGAAGAGGAAGCAAGGTTGGAAACGAGAGGGTTCGGATGGTTCAGAAGTTTATTATGAAAGGACAGGTATCTGGATTGAGCTAAATCGGAAATATATGGTACATTAAGGTCATCATGGATGATTTTATTTGTTACAAAGTAGGGAGCATTAAGGATTTTACGAAGGATTTTGGATTGTAGGGATCCAAGGATTTTGGATAGAGCCCCAAAGCTCGATCCTCCATTGATATTAAAGCAGTGGCCTTATTTCTATTTAAGTTTTTTGTTATCTCCGACTGTAGTTTTACTAGAGAATGTTCAGTGCACATTTGAGCTTGAAAACCACTTATGTAGCTTATTTGTTATCAATTTTAATTTTTTTTTTTACTTTAAATTATTGGGAGGGGGAATGATATTCTCGCCACCTCAACATTTTTATTTGGGGTGATGGCCCCTCTCCCTCCTCTTGAAGTATATGCCTATGGGACTCCAACCTTCTCGTTCGAACGCCGAACGCCCTACCAATGAGTATTCACCATCTGATAGTTTGCGGAGGTATTTATAGAAGGAGATGAATAGGGCCGGCAGATAATACAGCCGCTGTCACAAGAACCGCTCCTCAGCTCGGCATTGACCCAGGCGGCTCTAAACTGTTTTATCACCATCAGGTAATTCCCTTGTTCTCTTGCCACATCCGATTCCTCAGCAGTAAAGGTGGATCCTGCAGGAGTGAATGGCAACCAAATGTAGCGCTTAGTGCCTAATGCCATAGCTTGGGTTTTAGTATCTTTAATAAACATCAGCCTTACACAACCGCCATCGGAAAGCGAAGTGGGCTCGTAATGTGGCCATAGACTCGCCAATGAGCCGTTAGTAGTGCTTGTTTTCACTCGGGTCTTCGGCTTCGGTAAAACAAGGGTTATTACAACAACAAGGACAAATAAACAAGGATACGATTGTATGACTTTTCTTCTTTTTCAAACGTTCAGATCGTACTTAAAATGATAATGGCTAATAAATAAATGTATATATTTTTTTTTTTTTTATCAACCAGTGTAGGACTTTTGTTATTTTAATAGTATTTATGATTTGTTAGCTGCAATTTTTTAGCTTTAGCTCAGTTAAAAATGCAATTCAAAAATTTTATATTAGCCCAACATGGCCAGAAAATAATTTATATTCAAAGATGAGCAAAGTTCAAAGAGTAAGTGAAAGTTGTGTGTTGCGCGCACCAAATTTTTTATAATAAATATCAGATAAGATATATAACAAAGACTCGGAATTATGTAAACGCATATTTTTTTGCATAGTAGTTTTCAAAAAACGATTCAATATCTTCATGAACCACTCATTCTTTTGACAATTTTTTTCATTTTCGTGCTTATATAAACTCAAACATTTTTGCATATTTCGATTATTTTAGATGTAAAAAATTTGTTTAACCAATTATCAACTACATGGATGTACCCAACATCTCTTATTTAAAAAAAAAAATAGCTGTGTTTATCTTATTCAGGACAATTAACTGCAGGAAGATATCAAAAGCGAACCCTACAAGGTCAGTCTGAATGACATTCTAATTGATCGTGTATTGTTAAAATTGATATAGTGATGGACGTGATTGACAGGTTTCCAAAAATCCCCAAAGGTTCAGTCACGAGTAGTGGAAGAGATACTAAGGTAAAAGTTATAGGGAAACTAATCAGACGGCCACAGAGGTAAGGAAATAAAAATCCGAAGGCAATATGAAGCAAAAACACTTGACTAAACTAAGGACTACTTACTGGATTGGCACGATACAATTATTAAGTAATCTCCCATCACAAGAATATTGTTTTATCACAACTCCAACTGTAACTTCTCATAATTTAGAAGGCATACATACCATCAACGCTGTAACTGGGATTCTATCCCACATATCGAAATATCAATACAACTTCTTAATGGAGAGTATAAGAAAAAAGTATCTATTTATAAGTGTGAATTAAAGTTTATATTACAAGATTATAACAATCATATTGATGTTCGTAAAATATTCACGGTTCGACTATCCGGGCCTGAAAGTTTCTGTTGTGAAATAATGCAGTATCTCTAGGCAGGATCAACACGCATCGTATACGTATATGAGAAAACTACAGCTAACAGAACATTATATAATTACCGACTCATTGGCAATACGATATTACCGACATGAACGAGAGAAAGGAAAATCAAAAAATTAAAAATATAATATAATACTGCCGTTATTCCGAACTATCTCTGAACAGTTATAAATATATCTATAACGTTAATTACTTACTTATTAAATAATATATATCGGCACGATAAGTAATATTTAGTTCTTTCTTTTAGGTTCAGTTCCAGAATCGAAGATTATTGGTATTGTCATCTCAGATTTATCCTAATCATAAATACTCCAGGACTAATTAAACATCTATTATCAGTTTCACTTAAGTCTTGGAGTAAGACTTTAATTTAAGTCTGGAAACATGTTATTTCAGCTCAGATTCGCTCGACTTAGCGGCAAGAGGAAAAGTAGAATTTTTATTCCCCTTTTGTTTTTAATTCCAACTATTTTTTTCAATACAGTAAGTTAATAAAATAAATGCTGAAAATATAAATATAAATTTACGACAATCGTGTTTTTGCTGTATTTTAGCATTTATGTCTATATTACCTGAACATATAAATTAACCTAAGCCGTTCACAATAATATTATAATACATTAATGCATTTTAATAAATTAATGATCTGTACACTAACCAGCACCCAAGAAAGAAATATAGAATGAACAATCCTCCGACCGATGACTGGTGCGATCTTGGATGAGGATACTAATACATGGGGAAGAAGGACTAATAAATAACTGTTTACAGAACCTGGTCAGTCAAAACCGCATGATATGTAGGCAAGGGATTAAGATGGGCGGGCGGGACATATAGCTTGAAGCAATTCATCAGGAAGCCTTAAAATAACAATGGATGTCCCATTAGTAGGCAAGAGACCACGTGGAAGGCCAAAGACCAGATGGATAGATTTAATCTAATATAAGTTAACAATGGGATCCTCTTCAAAGTTTTAAAACTAGAGCTTCGACCAGGCCAGGGACACACCGACAATCTCATCACCAGCACATATATCTTAATATATGTTATATTAATATATAATGTTAAGTAGCTTACTACTCAGTAACACATATATTAAGCTATTCAGTAGCTTAATATATGTGCTGGTGGACGGTGCTGAGATATCGAAACTCTATTTTTAAAACTTTAAAGAGGATCCCATTGTTAACTTATAAAAAGAAAAATACCGGGATCGAAACGTCAATAAACACAGAGGAAATGAACATTTAGTAGTTTATTAAATAATTAATAAGTGACCTTATTCCCGATTAAATGGTTATGTTTAAATTTAATACTCAAAGGTCGTTTAAAGAAAAGTTTTAAATATATATAAATTTTAAAAATAAATTTAAATTCAAATGGTCTGATCAACCAGATAAAAATATATATGTTAAGTAAATGTTATTTTAAATTAATAACAATAGTTTAATTGATAATTTAAATTAGCATTATTCAGTAACTTATATTTTCTGCGAACTATCACGGATGTCTGACTTGTACAAACATACATTTTATATTTATTCTTTAAGTGTAATATTATATATTCTTCCATACCTTCTTATCTCTTCGTGACTGTAACTTAACACCGCAATGCTAAACGCTTGTTATAGACCATGTTATCCTTCGAGGAACTCTTACATGGATCCACCATTGTCAGGATTATTACCAGAATCTTCCACTTCCTAGATAGTGGCCGGGAATGGTAATGAACAGGAAGCTCTTTAGGAATGGATTCGGAATTGCATGAATTAACGAAAATATTACACCAAGAACAGAAAGTACATATTTTGGAAACTAATTTATATTAATAAACATTGAGATATTGTTAATTAATAATATCCTTGTATACCGTTATCAGTCATCGAGGGATTTAATTACTTTCTTGTTGAAAGATCTTTTTAATGTGAAATCAATTTCGCTAACATTACTTAATCGCGTTTCCTAAATATCAACCATTACACCGCAACTCTACATCATGCGTATAGAGTTACTGAACATAAAAATATATTAAGAAAATGGCTTAGCTAAACAAGCCTTTTAAGTTTTCATTTTTTAAATTTACAAAAATTTCGATATTTTGGTTCGATTTTATTGATATTTTTGCTTTATAAAAGGTAAATTAGTTGAACATTCCATAACTAGTCGAATACCAAAATAACTATTACCTTTAATATCTTACTCAGTTAATTATTTAAAAAATAAGATTTCAAAGCTCCCTCTTAACTTAATCAGATCCTTCATAACAATATTGAATCATATTAAATATGCAGTGCTGGCCTTAAGGCTGATAAATTTTGTTATATATTTTTATAAATCTAAAAAGAAATTAAAACATCTTATTAACAACAATTAATTTAGACTATCAATAAAGCAACTGTATTAGAGAAATATGAATGGAATAAAATTCAAATATTACATAGAATAAAACTGCTAAAGAAATACATACATTTTTTTTTACGGGTAGAGAGTTGACGCCATTGCCCGGGGGGCGTCAAATGTCTAAATCCGGCACCGCAGATATGATCTAAACAGTCCTAATAGAACGGACGAATCATAAATTTACGATTTTTTTCCGAGCACACATTTCTTTATGATAAAATCTCTAGATCACGATTATGGAAGCTACGGAGATGTCTGATATACACATCCTCCCCCTTACCTCGTCTATTCGGCTATACGTGGTTTTCTCGGATCAGGGGGGTTAATTCCATAGTTGATAGATAGGCACTGATGCTCGATCTAGTAATTTTCAGCCTATCAGTTCGCCAGGTACCGCGTGTTTATAATTTGACGTCTCCTCCCTCCCCCAACTTTATATTTCTCAATTAGTCGAGCAATGACGTATCTACAAATCATGCAATTTTATAAGAGAGTTAAATTAATTAGGATTAGAATTATTATTGCACAAATGACATAATTTAAAAAAAAATGAATGTACCATTGTTAAATCCATCATTCCATACTAATTTTTCTTATAGTATACTATGACATCGGTTCCATTAAACACTCTTAAAATAATTAAACAAATTATAGCTTCGTCTTTGTTCCACAGAATGAGAGATAAGTTTAAAAAAAAAAAAAGAAGAAAAAACTCGGACTTTAAAAAAAAGGTGTAAATAAAGTTTAGTGTTGCGGTTCATGCTGTTGCTATAGTAATTGTCAGATGAACCGATTAGTATCTTTTGGACTTTGCTAAGCTTTAT